TTAAAAGGTGTTAGACCACTAGTCATTTTCGATGAAAACACGATCGATCATGTTTCGTCTATTAAAGAAGTGTTTCTAACGATATTGAAATATAGCAATAAAGTATGTGGACACGATTAGATATATCAATAAAAAGGTGCGAAGGCACATATTCATAAATTAACACAACAATGGTGCAATGACAATGTTTTCGTTTGGCAAAAAATGGCTCTATTTACTGACGTTAAGAAAATTAGATAGCTTTGTAGAAAATTGAAAGACGGATCTTTTTAAACAATTTAGGTCAAACAGATGAATAGTGGTGACACTATTGCAAAAATACAGAAAGGATCATTCTTCATGGGCCACCCGTTAATTGTACTGTTAGTTTATTTAATAACACGTCGCGTTGTGCAAAACATGATGTTGCGAGAAGCCGGTATATGGCAATGAGACCAAAGCAATGATATTTTTTTTCATAGATGAATAGGAATTCAGAAAACCTTATGGGAATGGGAACGTGGGAATGGAAACAAAATATTTTTTCTCGGGAATGGGAGTCGGAAATGAGAATCAAGAAAAGTGGTTCCCGCAGGACTCTACAAAATCCTGAACGATTAAGTTTCGACGCTGCAAAAAAGTCGGCTTTTTGGTATGCGACGAACGCGTGTTTTTTCTAAACCTCTCCACAGAATAGAAGCCCTCTGGGCTTTCAATTTGTTTTGACAATTATAGGTTTCGATATGGGCTTCTATTGCGGTCAACGTTTTCCACGTTGCACCTAAGATTTAATTAGCTTACTGGCACAGAAGGTCTTTAAAAATTACAAAACGAAATTACCAAGTTGTCTGACAACTTTCAGAGTAGCTATTATAGCTTTGTAGAAACCAACAACTGATTACCAATTCTTTTTCGGTTGCATATTATTAAATCGATAAAGTGGTATGTTATTTATACGAAGTTTCGCATTCACACACTCATCTATCCTCAGCCAGCAGCTACTGGGACTTACTTTTTTAGAATTTATTGGGATCTTTTATAAATCCCTATGCATTTTAAAATAAATCTCACACCATTCCTTAGTACATGCGTACATACCTGCAGTGTGGGTGGACTGGAATATTGACATAGCTCAGTGCATACATGCATATCCACAGTGTGGGTGCACTGAAATACTGATACAGTTAATAAATCCTGCAGAAGAAATAAATTTCAAAAAAATAGTCGAACAAAGTGAGCTTCAAATTTAGAGTTTATGAATGTCTAGTTTTCACCGAAAATTCTAACTCAGAACCTTTAACTCCCTGTTTCTGATTGCTCAAATAGATATTCTTGATTCTGCTGAGTCGATTGGCGATACTCAAGAAAAATAACACGGAGTTACAAGTTGCAATTTGTTGAAAAACTAGAAAGGACGGGAGACAGTTTGTCCACAAATCGGCCCTATTTAAAAATCAGCTGGATAATCTATCAGGAGATGACAGTTGTGTCTGTGTGATCTCCACTATTCTACGTAGTACCAGAGCCATTTTTTTCAGCATAAGTAGCACTCGTTACGAGCTACAAAATGATAAAAAAATATCTCTCAAAATTGACTGTGCTCGTTACTTTCTAAAGAATTCTGAGAAAATCATCGAGCACAGTCATTTTTTAGAGATATTTTTTTTATCATTTTGTAGCTCGTAACGAGTGCTACTTATGCTGAAAAAATGGCTCTGGTACTACGTAGAATAGTGGAGATCACACAGACACAACTGTCATTTCGAGATAAATTATCCAGCTGATTTTCAAAGAGGGCCGATTTGTGGACAAACCATCCCCCATCCTTTGTAAACTTCAAATTTGGAGCTCACTTTTCTTGACCCAAAAAAAACTAAGTCATAATAGCCTCCTCCTCAGCATTTCGTGGATCTGGTTACGGATACGAAAGCTTCGTTTAACATCATATGTTGATTTTGGACATGTCGAGTTTTGAAGAAGTTTAAAAGAGGTTTCTATTAGACCTATACCGATATAGTTCTGACGGACGACTTCATCATGGCAGCTGATGCAGAGTTCAGATACGAAGCGAGATATATTTTAATTATTGCAACAGAAATATAAAACAAAACCTATGATTACACAATAAGGGTCTCCCATTTCTTGAGAGATAGATAATTCAGATCTCATAAGTGTTATAATAATTAATATTGTGTCATCTCATGCTGGTATTTGTTTTTAAGTCTGATAAGTTCTCGCGTAATTCGTATCGATTGCAGGTAAACTTTCTAAGAAGTCTCATCTTTTGATCAAAAATTTGCTCATATTGCTGCTAAGTCAATAAAAAAATTCCAGCATTCCGTTTCTAAGTTGCACATAATCGTATAAGAGGAAGAGATCAAACAGAACGGTATTATTGCATGCGTAATTTCTATTGAATACATAGGGGTATCCAAAAGTAGTGACAACGACATTTTAGTTTCACATATTAAGCTTGGTAAAAGTTTCTTTTTACATAGGATGATAGAGAAAAAAATGCTCTTTCTGTCTATGTTATTTGATCATGCTTCAGTTGACATCATAACAACAAAATCCTAATAAGACTAGTTTTCCTAACATGTGTAACGGTTACAGAAGTTCATATTGTCTTCAATATGCATTCTTTTCTTAATCTTTTCTTTGTTTTTCTTCTTTCCTTTATTCTTTTCTCTCGCCTCTTCTGAGACTTTATCGTTTATTCATATTAGCATATCCGAAAATTGAAAATACATAAATAATTTCAAGAAGTCTTTATTTCATTAAATGTTCAAAGTAATTGCCTTGATTATCTACACACAATTGCATTCTTTGAATCCATTTATCAAACGTTTTTCTATACTCTTCTTTATCCAAAGAATACATGAACTTGGTTATAGCGTGATGTAACGATTCGGAATTAGTTTGATCATTTAGATTTCGTTTGATTAAGACGAATAACCAAAAATTACAGGGAGACAGATTTGGAGAATTGGGGTGGTTGTGGTACTATAGTAACTCCTTCTGAACCAAGATAATCGAGGACATCTTTATGAACATGTGCTTCTCCATTATCATGATGAAGTTTGATGGCATGAGTATCTGAGAGAGGTCTTTGTTTCTTGATTTCTTGGATAACCGGTTACAAACAGTTTTTGATGTAATATTGGTGATCGATAGTTTGTCCACGTTCGACACGATGGATTAGAAGAGGACCAGTTGATTTAAAGAAAATGCAAAATAAAGTCTTCGGAGCAAACTTATTTCGTCGCACTATTGTGGGTGGAGGATCTTCTTTTGCCACTCAAGCAGCATTGGAAGCTTTTCGACCAGTTTACTGACGGAAAAACCACGATTCATCACCTGTTACCACGTCACATAAACACCATCTTCCTTCTTCAAATCTTGACAGATTTTCTTTGCATATTTGAACTCGTTCACTCCGTTGATAATCCATTAGCTGTTTCGGTATGTAACGAGCAGTAATTTTTCCAAGTTCCAGATGATCAGATAATATTGCATGAAGGGTGCCATAACTTAGTCCAGTATGCTCTTGTAATTCTGCTATTGTAACATGAGAATCATCACTAACAATACTACGAATTTCTTCAATATTTTCAAGAGTACTCTCAGTTACAGGTCTTCTGGATCGTTCTTCATCTTCAATTTCTTCTCGACCTGGACGAAACCATTGAGCCCATCTTGCAACTGTCCGATAAGAAGGAGCTTCATCACCAAAAAGATTACTTAGCTCGTCGTGAATAGTTCTTGCTTCAATATTAAGTGCAGTACGCACTTTAATGTAGAACGAAAATTTTCTTTGTCCATTGAAAACCAAAATAAGAGTGTTAAGATTTGATGTAACTTTACTTTTTTCACTTTCTATAGAATAGACTAGTATACGACACGTGCACAAAAAGAGGCATGTGTTTTTGTATACATATGATAAATGATAAAGTCTCAGAAGAGGCGAGAGAAAAGAATAAAGAAAAGAAGAAAAACAAAGAAAAGATCAAGAAAAGAATGCATATTGAAGACAATATGAATTTCTATAACCGTTACACATATTAGGAAAACTAGTCTTATTAGGACTTTGTTGTTATGATGTCAACTGAAGTATGATCAAATAGCATAGAAAGAAAGAGCATTTTTTTCTCTATCATCTTATGTAAAAAGAAACTTTTACCAAGCTTAATATGTGGTACTAAACTGTCGTTGTCACTACTTTTGGATACCCCTATGTATATAAGCGTATGTTTTGTGTGGAAACGGAACCACTTGTTGTGTGAAGATGCCAAATAAAGCGAGTATCATTATCTCACAAGCACTTCTCTCCTCAAGTTCATCACAATATTCAACTCACAAAATTCAAAATATGACGAGACAAAGTCAGTATATATGTAACTTTTTCAAAACTCGTCCCTCCATACTCATTCAAGATTTTGATGCAGTCTAGAATTTAATTTCAAAAAAGTTGTTCCTATCGGTTATCTTTATTTTAAAACTGTTCCAAGTTGGACAACATATTTTTGTCATGAGAAAATCATATTTTGAGATGAGGGGACAAAAAGTGACAAAGTGTCTGTCAAGTCGGTATTTTGCATATATTTATTAATGATAGCTTTTTTGAAGAAAACTAAAGTCAAATTTTGATTCTCCGCGTTTTTTTATCTAACTACAATGAACGAAATGCGAACATAAACTTTTCTTAGTTGGAAAATTTTTTTCTTCCCCGGATAGAGGCTGTCAGTTTTTGCTCTTTTTTCGTTTTCAACGAGCATAACTCGAGATGAAGATGAACTAGATTGCTGAAATTTTCAGAAGTGTAGGAAGCTATAGAGAGGAGTATTCTGTGGAATTTTCAAGTCACTCGGAACTTCAGAACATGAGATACGGATAATTTAGTACCGATGATGCAATTGTACGATTGGAATACGATTCAACTATATAAATAATATCTAAAGAGACGAAAAAAATACATTAAATATTCTTTTTTTTTGGTTGTCACCCTTCTCTTTTATTTTCAACCATGTGTGCTCTTCATATTTTGTTCTATCTTTCTGGTTCTTCCTGTTCGTTCGCTCCGTCTTTTCGATGCGCGCTGCGTATCTTCCTTGGTGTGGGAGGCATCATGGTTCTGGCCGTGCCTTCTCCTTTCTGTTGTTCTCTTTCTCTTTCATGTTTGGTTCTGTGCTATGTTCTATCTCATCACATATGCTGCGGCGTAGCTCTTGGCGTGATGATATGTGCATGAAGCATGTTTCGCTTGCTATTGCGTGAGCATGAAAGTTCAATCTTTTTGTTTGTTCGTTGTTGAATACACAGAGAGAAAGGAAGCCAGCACAGTATCTTTTTATTTTTGAAAAAAATATCGACATGCATGAAAAAACACAGATTCTCTCTGACTATATTTAGAGCAATTTCATATTCTACACAAACAGCCATGAAGTTACCTAGATGGCTCTATGCAGATCATTTAGCTAAGGATTTCTCTGGACGTGAAGCATTTTTAAGAAATGAAGATCTGAAACCAGTTGAATGTGAACGACGTCTCTGGGGACCCTGGAATTATGTTGCATTTTGGCTTGCTGATTCAATTAATATTAATACATGGATGATTATTTCAAGTATGGTTGTTGGTGGATTGGCCTGGTGGGAAGCATGGATCTGTGTTTGGATTGGTTATACAATTCTGGCCATTTTCATCTGTCTATCTGGGCGAATTGGTGCAACATATCATATTTCATTTCCAGTTGTCAGTCGATCATCGTTTGGCCTGTTTGGTTCATTCTGGCCTGTTCTCAATCGAGGCTTTATGGCGTGTGTCTGGTACGGTGTCACAGCGTGGGTGGGTGGGCAGTGTGTTGTACTCATCTTTCGATCCATCTGTCTTTCGTACGAAACACTGCCGAACACTCTACCGATATCATCTGGCACGAATACACGAGACTTCGTTGGTTTTATTATTTTTTGGATACTTTCACTGATTCCTATCTGGTTTCCCGTACAGAAAATACGAGTTCTATTCACTGTTAAATCAATTGTGGTACCCATTGCAGCGTTGGCATTCTTTATCTTGACCTTGGTGAAAGCGAATGGTCTTGGTCCTATTATTCATCAATCAGGCACACTCACAGGTAGGCATGTACGGACATGATATGATATCGAAATAGCGGTCCGCTGATACTTTGTCGGTTGATGAAAATCGAGAACAACAAATTCTCAAAATTCGGTAAACTTGATTTGCAATTTCATAATATTTCTTTCGCTTGAAAAGGAGGGAATCTCCAAACCTAAAATGGAAGTTCTTCTTCGTTTTCTTGCACGCATAATACGCGTTTCAGTTGAGATTTTGTCTATTTTTTTGGCACATGTTATTCTCAGTTTGCATCATTTTCCCGCTTTTTGTAAAAAATGCGCATTTAAGCATATTAAATCAGCATAAGCCGCGCTTTTTTGTGAGTCTTTGCCAACTAATATTTCAGCGCCTGGCTGTTATGAGATAAAATACTTAACATTGTAGGAAAAAAGCCGACTTCGTCTACCTCTTAGTCTGATTCGGACTATTTTTGCCCTAATTTATTTGAGTTTTCTGTTGGGTTATAGGCCAGATATTTTGATAGGCCTTCAGATTTGCTATCAGTTGGCGATAGACGGCGTTTGTTTCTACTACTCGCTCAGTTAAACTTTCTTTGCATATTTACGCACCTTTTTAAAAGTCAGCAGGCGTTTTTGAAGCAACTAAACGCGTTTCAATGTACTAAGTCAGTCGTTTCTCCTATACTCGTTTCTCAGCGGTACCTCAAACGCAATTACACTTGCCCTCAAACAAAAAAATTCTTTTCAAGCGGAGAACCTTGTGAGCAATTCATTGGCCTTATTTGTAGAGAAGTGTGAGTAAGATAAACATTAAAAAGACTATTATTTTGGCGGTTTTTTAATTTTCACTGCGCACGAAGCATTTTAACCAAGAAGCTTTTTTATGTTAAAAATCTGATTTCCTAAAAAAAAGACCTTTTCATTCAAGTCATCAAAAGACTTATTCAGTAAGGAAAAATGGAGAAACCGCTAATTCAGGCGAACCTCCTACTTTAGACCATGAGGTTTACGTTTCTACTTTGAGACAAGAGAGTTTTGTAAAAAATTGAATTTTACACAAAAACACTTTTCAGCATAGATCTTGTGAGGTCTAAAAAGTGAAACTCCTCCCTTTAAATGCATTTTATTGGTTCAAACACCTCGAGAAGATGTCGGGAGATCGGACTCGTGTGATGTAAAGAAATTTCTGTAGAAACCTCGCATCCTCTCTTAATAGTTGGTATACTTTCATTTACATCGTAAGAATTGCCTTGCATGGATAAAGGAACCTCTCATAAACAGAGACCAAAATGTCACGAATATAGCAGAAAAGGAACTCTGTTGTATCACACAAAGTTCGCTAGTTACCAAACTTTCATTCTTTTGCAAGGCATCACAGAAAGATGTTTCCACCTTAGCGGTTTCACAAAACGTCGCTGAAATCAGGTAGATCATTCTGATCAACCCAAATCCAAATATATCAGAAAGAGAACTTCGAGTTGCAGAGCCTTGAAAATTTTCGAAGTCTGAGAAAAAAGTGAAAAAACCTTGTAGCAATAGATGAAACATCAATTCTGTATTTTTAAAACTTTCACTCCTCTATTCAACCTCTAAAATTACTAGAGGAGTTTCACAAAATTCATTTACCTATGCTCGGAAAAACGTTTCTGTGTGAACAGAAAATCTAACCAAAAAGTCAGAACAGTGGCATTATCATGAAATTTCAAATAAGGGCTACCAAATTCTCAGAAACTATTTTCTCGATTCTCATGTCTAATAAAATATCGGCGGACGATATTATATAAAACGATAGTTCGCTATCATATTATGTGGATCCATGCCTATTTCACAGGTAGTCTACGCGGTTGGTCTTGGATGGGTGGCATTATGAGTTGTATTTCAAATTTTGTTACAGTCATTGTTAATAATCCAGATTTTACTCGGTTTGCTACACGTCCATCAGCCGCCTTCTGGTCACAATTACTCACTATTCCAATCGGCTTCTCAGTCACATGTTTCATCGGCGTAATTGTCAGCTCATCATCAAACGTGATCTTCGGCCAAGCTATTTGGAATCCACTTGATCTTCTAGGCAAATTTCTCGACAGCCAGCCGTCAGCTGGAACACGTGCAGGTGTCTTCTTTATCTCATTAGCATTTGCACTAGCTCAGCTCGGTGTTAATATTGCAGCAAATTCTATATCAGCAGGATCTGATCTAACGGCACTTTTACCAAAGTTTCTCAATATCAGACGATCAGGCTATATCTGTGCCGTAGTCGGCTTAGTCATCTGTCCGTGGAATCTTCTCACCAGTTCTTCAAGGTTCATAATCTATCTATCGGTATACTCGACTTTTCTCTCATCGGTTGCCGGTGTTATGATATCAGACTATTATTTTGTACGAAAAGGTTACCTAGAAATTGAAGAACTGTATTCAGGATCAAAACAAAGTGTCTACTACTTTACATTTGGCTTGAATTGGCGAGCGTTTGTTGCATACGTCGCAGGGATTCTTATCAATATAGTCGGATTTGCCGGTGCAATAGGAGCAAATGTCTCAACTGCAGCACAGAACATGTACCATTTAAATTTCTATCTGGGATTTATTGTTTCTTCACTCGTGTACTATGGGCTATGCAAACAAAGTCCAGTGCCAGCGTGTGGTCAGAAGTGGCCAAGTGAAGTTGTTGATGATATCGATAATAGCATGGGTCTTAAAGCCGTGGTCTTTAATATGGAAGGACAGAATGATAGTATTAAATTACAAGATCAAAAAGTAGTCGACGAAGTGACTCGTTCATGATGAACACGCAAGATGAACAACAACAATCTAATTTTGAATTCTTTTCCTATATATCGTTATTAATAAACGTGTAGTTTTTCTTTTTAATTATGAAATTTAAGTTTTTTGAGAATAGTAGTTATTTTTTGTCCTTCAAGGAGATTATGCTTTTTTATTCCTTAGTTCATTGTCTTGAATAGTATGGGTGTAGATGTTTAGAAATGATTCGTTCGGTTTATGATGAAGAACATCGATGAATCATTCACAATAAAAAAAAACAAAAACAGAATATTCTGATGGAAAAAGAATTGTAGCAAAATATCAGTTCATTACTATAACTTTCATTCCGAAAAACACTGAAAGATGAGTAACGTTAATTGCACAGACATCTTTCCCTGATGGTGAGGGTGCCACGGAAATCTATATCACACACATCAGCACATATCTCTCTGCGAAGTGTGCTCGGAAATCGTGATTCTACATGAAAAGCTGATTCCTTAGTGGATAAACTTGATCAAATTTTGGATGCAGTTATATTGTTTATTGTAATTCATTTCACGAAAGAAACGTAAGTGAATTTAATACTTATAGGATTTATTTATACATATTGAAGAAAGAAAGACAAAGATGAATATACTAATGAAATGAATAAATCAATAATAATCTTGTAGTTTTTAATCTACTTATTATAAATGAATGAACATAAAAATGAATACTTAGCTAGAGCTTTCGACTTTCCACGAGTCATTATCAGTAATGTTGTTGAATTATAGCCAAATATTCAGTTTTATATTCATTTATTTCAGTAGTATATTCATCTTTGTCTTTCTTTTTCAAATATGTTTAAATAAATCGTATGATTATTAAATTCACTTATGTTTCGGGGTGTGGGTGGGGTGTGGGTGTCTATCATCTCTTAAATGATGCTCACATTCACATCCACACCCGCCCACACCCATACCCACATCCACACCTACACGCACATCCACGATATCATTTCATCATTTTCAAATAGTCTAAAACGGACCTATAAGTTAAATGTTCGCAAGGTTCATTGTTTTTCAACTTTTTTCGGATTTCCGTCGAACTGATGTTGATCGTGTCCGCCGTTGTTGATGTTTCAATGTAATCATTGCTCAACGACACATGAAATATCTTGCTATTATTCTGCATGGCTTCTGATGCCACTAGATTGTTGTCTTCACCTGCGCGGTGAACGACAGCAACGCCACCCATGTTGGGCGCTCTTAAAGACTGCATACCATGACAACGATTGAATAAATCAAGGCCAGCGACAAAGATAACACCAACGGGTCTTCGTACACGCAAATTTTCATTCAAGAACTCTTGAAGGCTAATGGTCACGTGTACTAGAGAGGTAAAGTGACGAGCTAAAAATGAAATAGTCAATTTCAGTTAAGTCTTACATCCTGATCGTATCCAACCCATTGTTGAATCGGCTCGGATTCTCTTGAAAAAATGCTTTGTCCGAAATTGAAATGATCATTATTTTAATGTTCTTCACAAGAATAGTTTATAACAATATCCTAAATATGTGCGATCGTTTTCATTGGACAAAGCACAAAGTTTGTTGTCGATTATTTGGTTCGGGCCTCAGGAAGGACATATTAGGTCTATCTCATTTCTGAAAACATAAGTGCTCGCATTCCTCTAATTAAAGTCCTTGGAATCGTTTTTTCACCTATTTCACTCTTGTAAGCTCGATAAGTTCTCTGTCATCCCTTATATGAAATAAATTCATTGAGAGATGTATCTAATGAATGAGTCCTATATTTCGATTGAAACTTTTGAGTCTGTTCGAATTGTTACCATCTTTGAAAATGAGATTGTTTTGAATATTAGAACAAATTGATGTTTGTTCCTCAGTGAATCAATGTATCGGAGAAAATGTCAACTTACCCACACATTCGGCTTTATCGATACTTAACCAATGTTGTTGACGCGCTTCGTCAATAGCTCTTCGACACATTTCAATCCGATGTCGACCAAGAATAAGTTCATTTTTTAATTTGCGTCGAACATAGTCATCATGAGTCGGTGATATATAACCAGCAATAACATTAAAATTATTTACACGTTCCAAATATTCTCTTGTTTTGATCATAATCGATATGTGACCACGATGAATAGGATTCAAAGCGCCTGTCATGATCAAAACAACATTATCCCTGTCACCTATATTGGAATTTAAATTGAAGTGAAGATTCGACAAATCAGTCGTCGATTCAGAATGCATGTTTGAACTCGCTCGAGCTTCTTAAAAATACTCTTGCAGAGGAAATATATCAGAGCATTCATTTCTTACCTTTTCTTTTTGCTCTTTTGGCTGTATAGACGTCTTCGCCATGTGAATATTTCATACAATGTGTGCTCGATTTGTCAAGACAGGCAGCTTGATCACGGCAGGGAACAAGAAAATCGGGAAAATCCACGTGGCGGTATTCAGCTCAATGGAAAGGATTATCTAGTTTGTTGCATTTCTTATCATATTTACACAATGGTACTCGATGAGGTTCGTGTGTATAATACGGTTCGTTTTTACGACAAAGTTCAGAAAAGCGACAAGGATGGGAATATTTCGCATTATGATCCGCTTTATGTTGTGTAGAATATCGACGAAGACAATTGACTTTATCCGGACATGGTATCAATTTCGGACTGTCATCAACATGGACGGAGTTTTCCATCGGATTAAGGAGTCTCGGAGATTTCTTTCTATCATCATCTTTCTTTGTTGTAGATGGCTCATGGTGAACATCAGGATCATCCAGCTGATTTTGATCTGTCGCTGACGCTGATGATCCTCTCTTGAAATAGTTATCGAATATCGAATGTAAATCATCTTGTTTTTCAAAACAAATCATCAAACTATTTTGAGAATGAAAGCGAAGATCTTCTCTTCACTCGCATTCTTACCCTCATCATCAGAATACAAAAGATTAAAATGTCATTTCCGCACTCTTTTTGCATCAGAAGCTTGTCTCACGAGTCACTACAATATTTCACTTTCATAAAGATTTGTGCATATATCAAGATCGAATAGAAAGGGGTGACTATTTTTCGCACTTCAAATGAGATAGGGTACTGTTCACTTACATGTTCTACCGATGCAGTTCGATTCGAATTAGATTTTTCCGTGGTTTGATGTTCCTTGAGGGCATTGGTCAAAGCGGACTGCTTTCTGCATACTAGACAGTCGCTTTTCTTCTTCTTGTTAACACATTCTTCAGCACAATTATAATGAAATATGTGACCGCATTCGGTGATCACCCGATTTTCATGTGCTTGCAATGGCGATTCACATATTGAGCATTCGTGTGTGATCAGTGATGAAGACATTTTTTTTTCAATCTGAAAATAGGCAATAACTCTACACGATTTGCTTCTGCAATGCTTGCTTCCATCAACATGCACGCTGTATGCAGCAGAACAGAGAACGAACAGTCAACATCAACAAACTTGAATGATGTGGAAAAGAAGCACCGCTGATGGCATTTGATTTTTCGTTAATGAAATGGGGAAAAGGTGAGTTTTGCGTTGTTGAGATACGAATAAAAACGAATACGATAACCCTCTCAGCAGTAAAGAACAGCAAAAATCATTGAGAAAAAATTCCCACCCTCTCAACAATACTTCTTGTAGAGCCGGAGAGAAAAAAATGTTGTTGGAACCTAGGGTAACGATTCCGATGTAACACGATGGGTTCGCTTCGCATCTTCTCGTACCGCTGACTCGTGCTTTTTTGTATCGCATGCATTGCCTGTGAAAAACAAAAAAAACTTTCTTACTGTGCGTTCTTTTTCTTGACGTGTTGCCGCGAAAAAGACGATACATTTGCACAAGGGATACTTGAGTAGCTGCACTCATCTGTGCAGAAACGTTCGATAAAAAAATGGGGAATCAGGTACTTTGTTGATTATCAGTAGTGGTTTTTTTTTTCGTTTGAAAAAAAGCAGTCAAGTCAATACTAAGATACAGTGAGGAATTTTCAATAATTTTGCTGACAACAGTATTCGAAACAGTCTTATGGATTAAAAAAAACAAATGTCGAATGCATACTCCGAAATATCTTTCGCCTGTTTTGTCACGTCCACTTTCACCAACATCTGATCATTCTTCTAAGCATTTTGGCAAATATGCTTTCGTTTTGTTTGAATTCCAGTAAAGATTTGCTACTGAAAACCTTATGAAAACATGAAACTTCGTTCTAATTTGGGTGTGTATGTGGTGTGGGAATTAGCGAGAGTAAAGAAAAGATAGACAATCACACTCACCCTTGTTCAAATATGAGAACATTTCCAGCAAAGTTTCATGCTCTTTAGTACAAATATTTCAGTGAGCCTCCAATTAATGAGGTTGTATAATAAGTTACCAACCAGAATCATGGTTATAAATAATGATCTTATTTAAAATACGTATCTCAATGAGATCTGTTCGTTTGATATGATTCACGTTCTTATTGGTCATTTCTAAAGTTACAGGCAGTAATTAAGATAACCATGAAAGACAAAATTTCATTCATTCATTCATTTTCGTTTCCTATTGTCATTTCGGGTCGAGGTTTTAGGTATGTTCAGCAGACCCTTCTACCGATCTCGATTTTAATTGTATATCCAGCGCTTGTATTCGTGATCAAACTCTTTCGGTCATCGTTCATTATTCATGACTATTGGTGAGAGTAGGACGATATATTGCATTGAAAATCGCTATCGGTTAGCGTCAATAGAGGTCACTCTATTACGGCTAACTGTTTTCGTTACTAGTTATTGGTTTCTTTCTTTCTCCTCTCAGTTGTTTTGCCATGTTCTCTCTGATTCATACTGATAGTTATCTTTCTTCCTACCAGTTGTTGTTATTGATTTTTCTTCTTTTTCTTTCTTCTTTCATTATTATAATCTTCGGTTTAATTTTATTAATAAAACCTCATCAACAAGGGTGTAGATGTGGGTGTGAGTGTGGATGTATTTTTCCACTACACCAAGACCGACATCCACACCACACCTTGCATACAAGTTTGGTCAAGTGGTTTTTATGCCCATTTTCGAATTCGGAGAAGTCAAAAACGTGAGGAATTTAACTTAAAAAGTTTGATTCTAGCCTTCGGGAAATGAAAGAAGTAAAATTTCATACTAAATAGCACTGGAAAACGGTAAATAATGAAAAGTACTATGAGAGTATAAGTATCGGATTAATAATACTTGACAAAATATCATGGTTCTATCCTAATTTTAGGATAACAGAATTCAAAGCTACCTGAAGAGTTCTTTTTCAGCGAAGGTTGAAGCCGATCATATTATTGCTGATGCTTACCTTCAAACTTTCAGTTATCTCCCTCTCTTCTTCTCCGCTGCTGGAACAGAAAAGAAATTGCACTACTATTCATATCAGCAAGTACTTCACCAAGACTGTAGGATTTCATCACATATGATGCAATGCTTTGCAATGTGTGGGTGTAGAAATAACTGAAATGATAAATTGCTCGTATTCTTTCAGATATTTGGATCGAAATTTCGCTATCTTTGCTCCCGTGAGTGCGTTGAATATGGCAGCAGTTGCTGATCATTGTTCTTTGTCGCCATCTTCTTTCACAAACACCGAAAGCAATGCTATTTTGACAGAGACTTCGAAGGAACTATCAGCACCAATAGTTAACACGCTAGCAATAGAAGATTCACGTGCAATCGAACTAATCTATACATACTGGTTTGGTGAGAATATCAATACATGGTCAAAACAGTATCCCCTAAATACAAAGTTATGGTTCAGAGTTCAAGAAAAAGTAGATAAAGAGATCAAGGACAAATTTGAAAAGTATTTGATCGATGCTGCAGCAGCCAATAGCAATCTCTGCCAACGTTGGCGAACCATCCATCGTGGCAAACTTGCACTGATTATCTTGTTTGATCAATTTTCTCGAAATATCTATCGAGATACAACGAAAATGTTCGAATTCGATCCTTTGGCTCTGAACTTGGCACTTGAAATAATCGATGATCCGACATACGTCACATCGTACAGTTTGCCTGAACGCATCTTTGTGTATTTTCCGCTGGTTCATTCGGAGAATCTTGTTTACACGACCAAAGGTGTCGACTTGTTAACAGGACTCGTGCTACAAGTATCGCAACGTGATATACGAAAACAGTATTATACAAACGCCCGAATAGCAAAAACTTATCAAAAGATTATCGAGTTGTTCGGTCGATATCCACATCGAAATGATCTGCTAGGACGACAATCGACCCCGGAGGAAAAGGAATATTTGAAAACAGCACGTCACCAATTTGTACAACCTGTCCACACCATCAAATCAGCAGTATCTCCTTCTCCAACTTCGGACGGCATAAGTCAAGTTCCGTATTCAAAACAGTTGTCATATCCTTGTTTGAAGATACTTGTTCTACATGGTTTCTATCAGAATGCAAACATTTTGAAACATAGTGTGAAAAAATTATTCAACGAGTTGAAGGACGTGGCAACATTTTATTTCGCCAATGCTCCACTACCATACAATCCCACAGGGGAAGTGAAAGAACAATTCCTCACAGCTTTTGGCGATGGAAATTTGTCAGAAACAAGTTATCAACGACAATGGTGGAATGCTTCTAAAGATAGCAAAATCTATCATCATTTAGATGTTTCCTTGCATTATATTGATCAATTATTCAAGTCAACAGGACCCTTCGATGGTGTACTTGGCTTTGCAGTATGTGATTAGTTAGCAGAGTTATATTTTGTAGATAACATTGTTTTCCTTGATTTAGGAAGGAGCTTTGTTGGGTGGCATTTTGAGCAGATTGCAACCATTCGGTAATATCTTATTCAATTTTGCTATTCTTATTTCTGGATTTGCCTCTCGAGCTGAATGTCACAAAGATTTCATGCAGCCGAACTCAATTAAGAATGTCCCTTCCTTACATGTTTATGGAACCAAAGATGTTTTAATTAATAATGATCAAACTCTGCAATTGGCAGCAGCTTTTGAAAATCCGATAATTGTGTCTCATTCTGGTGGCCATTTTACACCAAACTCCTGGCCAAACAGTCATATCAAACAGTTTTTACTTGAACAGCAAGAAACTCTTTCGAATAGCCAAGAAACGGCAATAAGCACTAATGTTGATCAGTTCCAATCGCTGGCGACATTTG